AAAGTCACCTCTCTATAGCGACACAACTGAACCTCGATCTGCACTGCTCCACGGTTGGTTCAGTGTCAGCGTTCAGTTTACATGAAGCGGTGACAAAGAGACCAAAGGAAGTCCTGGACTGTAGGAGCCTTTTTGCCCTGCTGCTCTCACTCGGCCATGCAAACTGAGCCTAATGTAAATTGCCCTGCCAAACTTTAAGCTAAATGGTAAAATGATCCTGAGTCCTTGTCACCTCCACTCATGTCATTGACTCGCTGAAGTGTGCCTCAGTTGTCTGGGCTGCGTGGCTGGTTCCCATTACTCCCTGCTCGAACCAATCTGCGCAGACGGCCATTACGAGAGGCTGAAATGGTTTGAGCCGGGTTAAACGTGGTGAGGGGACGAAAAAAGGCAGGAGATCCAAGTGACAAAATCTCACAAGTCAGTGCAATCGAACGTTATACTAACTTTTTCTGCTGATGGTGTATTTACACATACAGGGCAGCAGAACTGGATCGCATTCTCACTTTGCCCCAAAAATTAATTATGGTTTAAACCAGATAAACTGCAGCTTTGTGTGTCTTCAGATCACACCAGCAGTGGGTTATTGGTGCAAAGATGTCATTACCCTGCAAAACCAGTGGCTGTAAAAAAAGAAAAAGTGATAAAAGCTAAAATCCCACTATAATTAGGCTTCAGTTCAACACCCATCCAACAACAAAGTCACATCCTTTGTCTTACTGCTGCAGTTAAATGTTTACTGTGTAAAACTGGACTCCAAATGTTGCAACGTGCTCGGCGTTGACACCAGAGAGTTTCAAACGGGGGGTTTCGAATGGATTCTCTCTGCTTGTGTGCATGTGTGCAGGGAAACTCGCCCTGCTCTCCAAACAGATGAGGGCAGGAAAGCTGAGCTAAAGGTCAGCGAACTCAGACACTGAGGGAAGACACGGACACATCAAAAGAAGGAAGTGTGGTGTCTCTGGAGGATCACAAAGACGTGTAGATGGCTGCTGAAAGACTGTGAAGTGACTGAATCATCTTCAGGGGCCACAGTTTTTCAATCAGGAGCTCCAGTTTGACCTTTTTTATATTGATCCAGTAAAAGATTCATTCTTTTAGTGACCAGCATGACTTTAACCTAACTTGTGCATTTATTTTACTTGAATATTTCTATTTTATGTGACTTAAATCCACATTTTAAATTTCTTGTTTTTTACTTCTCTGTATTTATTTAACAGCTGTGACTTTGCAAACTAAGATATTACATGCAAAATATGAGCTTAATAAATATGTTTTGGTGCTATAAATTAGGCTACATTAACTTAAAAATGCTGCAAAAGCCAATAAAATTAGGGGTCAGGGAAAAAAATAAATACAGATTTGTTTGGCAATATCGTGTCAATACACAGACTAAAGAGCTGTTTTTTTAAATTATATAAATTATTAATATTGCAAATAAATTTTTAACTTTTTGTGCAGGAACAGACTGAAAACTTTATTTTATGAAAAAAACAAAGTTTTTCTTTTAGGACATAATTCACAGCTGAAAAAAGGGTAACAAATTTTCACAACATCTATCATATTGTAAAACCATTAAAATCCAAATAATATTGTACAGTGGGGCCTGTGGTGATTCCCACCCCTAAATAATGTGTGTACTTATGCTTGGCATCATGATTCCTTTGACCTTTGATACTCAAAGTACATTTTTGCTGATAATACCTCTGAGTATTTACTGAAGTAACATGTTAAATGCAGACCTTTTACTTGTAATAAAGTAGTTTTATAGTGTTGTATTGCCACATTTACTAAAGAGTCTGAACACATTTTTCACCTCTGTTATTTTTTTATTTTGTCATTTTTATATCTGCTCACTTCCTGCAGCTTACAAACACCCACATTTCCCTCTCTGTCATCTCTCAGCTCCACGCTCCAGCAGCTGCCTCGTTGATTTCATGTAACAACATGATTGGCAATGTGTTGAGTAGAAACAATAAAACAGTGTTGTGCAGTGACTCTAATGTATGTAAATGTTTATTAAAAAGACATGCTGGTTTTTTTCCAGCGGCCAGAGATGTCACAGTTATACAGCTCCAGACAGACCTGAGACCAGTCATCACATCACCTTAGACTGAACCGATCAAGCCACAAATTATAACAACAGAGCCATTCTCTGACAGCTTCAAACTGCACTGACGTTGTGTAAAATACAGGTTGGATGAGAGAAGTGACTCGGGGAGTAAAATACACCAGCATTTTTCCAATAAACACATCAGGAATCATTTATCATTTTTCTCCCTGTGCTTGTAAGCTCTGCATATTTACTGCTGCCTTCAATTCAAGTCAGTAAAATAGATGGGTTAACTAGAATCAGTGGTGGAAATCACCAGGAAAACTGCAGCCAGTGGCAAATAATTTCGATGTAGCTATTTTAAAAGACAACATCTTTGCATAATTAATGCGGATTTAATTTTTATTCATATATCTTAAAAATTATGTCGGAAATGAAACGATAAAAACATTAAACTCTCCTGTAACAGCTCTGAAGAATCAAAAGACATTTGTCTCTGGGGGCCACGTTACTGTGAGCAGGGAAATAAAGGTAAACAGAGCAGTTTGACATCTGAGTCGCATTAATGGCTCAGCTCTTCTTGTCTATAAGCGCCGGGATGTTTTTTCCTGCCTCCTTCACTGTGAATCCGGTCATTAGGTCCACATTAAAGTCTCCGTGCCTGAGCTCTGACACAGGTTTCACCCCAAAAATCTGACCTTAGTGGTGAAATAATAAGAAAAAAAAATGCAAAGAAAAACTTAAAATTAAATGTTATGTAATTTAAATACATCGTTGTGCGCATTTGCTGCACTCAACTCTCCAAGTTGTGCGTAAAATAATAACTTTAACTTAAAAAAGTCTTTATTTAAAAAAGAATTCGTTTGCTTTCTGTCTTTCTCCGTGGTTTGGACTTAAATTGCAGTTTACTCTCAGCCTAATAACTGCGGCTTATTTACAACACAATATAACAGCTTTATGTCATCTCGATTTATCGGATCTGTGTCAGGGTTAATAGGTAGTAAAAACTTAACAGGCATTATAAAAATAGGGGCCAAAAGATTGATCTCAGTTCTTGACATTTTGGAGCTGTAAAAGTTTTTTTTTTTTTTGTTTTTTTTTCAGCAGGCCGATTTCCAGAAACTGTCAAAACATCCTTAAACTACTTCCACTAAACATCTCAGTGTAATACTGATGGACAAGCAGCCCGAGTGAATCAAAGAAAAAATGAGTGATGGCTTCATGCGTAAAAGTTACTTTTTACTATCTGTTTTTTAATTATATTATTTATTTATTTATTTATTTATTGTACTTTATTTTATTTTTTAAAGTTACAAAATTGGGATTTTTTAGTGATTTTTCTCAGTGTTTTATTTTGACGATATTTTGACCATAATTACTTGATCCATCCGTTTACAACAAAGCTCTTCAGTGGATCCTTTTCAGATGTGTCCAGCACACATTTAATAGATTTTATATGCAAATAGAGGAGAGCCCTCGGGCTTTGTGACTTTATTCAATATCATAATGTTTCTTTTGTTATAACCTTTAAACTACAACAAGTTCAGAGTGTGTGTTTTCAGCTCAGCGTAAAAATGGCTGAAGACGCATAAACGCGTTTTGCAGGATTTAATAAAAAGGTGTTGGATCTTTGACCTCCGAGATAAACCGTATGCATAAAGTGGCATGTTCCTCCTTAACGTTTATAATCAGAGTCAGACTAACAATCCTGTTTGTTTGTTTGTTTGTCCGTTAATTTCTGTGGCTTTGTTCTTTTCAAGTTGTGTGACAAAGCTGAAAAATTAAATTTCCGCTGAAATGTACTGTAATGATACCAAATAGTCATCTTCAGTGTGTGTGTGTGTGTGTGTGTGTGTGTGTGTGTGTGTGTGTGTGTGTGTGTGTGTAAGGAAGAGCAGTTGAATTATCATTAATTTACCAAAAGCTTGTAAAGCCTCTTTTAGGGTGACACATCTTGATGCTGCAGTTTCCATCATGTGTGTTTCCGGTTTGAGGAGAAAAAAAACTTTCCTGGTGGGTTAAAAACACGAATTAATGCCCCTTCAAAGTGGCCGCCTGCCTGACAAGGGTCAAAGTTTTGTTTACACCCTCATCATTCACCCATTACAGTAGCGTCCCCACGCAATTAAATCTAATTGGAGCCAATCAGGCGGAGCAATGAAATGCAAATATTATCAGTTTGGAGCCTCGCTATGTTTGTGCCATCTGAAAACCTGTTAATTCAATTGTCCGACTCAGCTCCAATATTAAGGATTGTAATGCAGATTATCGCATTAAATGCACCCTAATTTAATTTTGATGGCCAAAGGGACAATTTGATAGTCGGGTAGATTATGGCTCTTCTTAACTGCGTTACGCACAGAACCTCTGGGCCGAGCTGAGGCGTCCTGTGTGCTGCTGGAGAGGAGAGTTTTTCACGCACGAAGGAAGTCTCCCATATTTAGGAAGACAGGAGGAAGAAACAAAACAAGGGATTTTTAAAAGCACCAACATGCTGAAATAGTTGTGCAGTGTGGTTTTAAAAGTGAGACAGTAAGGAGACAGTTCAGGACCAAAAATGGCGTATTTGAGAACCATCATGGCCACTTTTACGCATATGTGCCATCAATACGATCGGAACCACTCAGTCAGGCTGTATCTGCGGATCCTGTGCAATCAAATGGAGCAGTGATGAGTGATGACGTTGCTGGTGACGTTAAAATGATCAGCACAGGTATAGGTGATTATCAGACACAGAACTACCCGGATAAAACATCCTAACTCTGGATAACTGGAGTGTTTTTGTTGCCTGTCTCCTGTTACACATTCTGCCGACACTTTCCTCACAGTCTCTCTTTTTTATGACGAAAACAGCTTCACAAACTCAACTCTGGACTCGTGGGAACCCTCACCTTGCCAAGTGGGCGCCTCTAACTCAGTCATGATAAAGTGTTTTCTCTCCACTCACCATAGCAGGGGATGAGCGCTCCGTTGTGTCCACTCTCCTGGTGCAGTTTGCTCTCCTCGGGGGGTGTTTTGCAAGAAGACCTCTGCATGAAGAGGTGGTATTTGCTGAAAGTGCCTTGCCCAGCTGCGGCGGCATCCAATGACTGGCACTCCTGCTGGAAGGGGCTCCGGGACTTTTCTCCGTAAGCCTGACCTTTGTTGGGCAGGAAGGCAGTGGGGCTGTATTTAGTGTCAGAGGCTGGGAATGTCCTAAAGTGGTCCGTCTGGTGATCCCTACCTTGCGCTGCAGAGGGGCTATAATATGAATCCATGGATGTCATATCGCTGTATGAAACGCAGGTCTCGGCGTTCATGCCTAAAAAACAGTGAAGGGGAGAAAAAGACCAAACTTTTCTCTCTCTCACTCCCTCCCTCACTCTCTCTCTCTCTCTCTCTCTCTCTCTCTCTCTCTCTTGGAAAGGGAAGCGCAGACACCCCCTCCTCTTCCTCCTCTCCTCTCTACCTCATACAGATGAACCTACACACACACACACACATGCATGCAGACTGCAGCGCACACCAGACCGCAGCTGGGTTTGGTTATAAAACGATTCAGATCTTTTCCAGGAACCACTGTCGTTGACCAAACACTCCAAACTCCCCCTCAGGTTTGAGCAGAGTTACACAAACCCGTCTTTCCTCAGAGGATGGGACCCAGATCTGCTGGCTTCGAGACCTCTTCCCAAGTGATTATGCTGATGACATGAGCCAGTTAGGTCACTTATTAGCTGCAAAAAAAAAAATGCAAAATAGGGGCGGGGGGCTTAACACATGACATTAATGTAATTTGGATATGAATATAGCCCATGAGTGATGGCACTGGGGCGGAGAGGGCACAATTTCACGCTTCATTCGCAATGGTTCATCAAGGGCAAATCATCCATACTCGGCCGATTGTGTTCCTTCAGCCAGCTCTGTGGCTTCTGAATAAAACTGGGCTTTGGTTTACAAGAGCCTTTTAATGTCGGAGTCACCACTTGAACGAATTTTAGAGTCACTTACATCCGAATTATTTATTTCAGCAATAAATACACGTTTGATCTGCGGTGAAAAAAAATCCCAAACTTGAAGAAAATATTACTTTGTTTTAAATTTCTCGTGATTTTAGTGCAAAATTATTATTAAGTATGATAAACCTAAACAAAAAAAGGATTCGAAATATAAATAATGCTACAAAAAGATTGCTTTTATATGTCTTATCACACACAGATAACCTAATTAAAAAGATGAGACATCAGTGATCAGTTTTGCATTTTTTCCCTCTTTAATTTGAGAAAAAAACAGCTTATTCGTGCACGTCCCCCTCAGTATTTATAACATGTGCATTTGCCCCCCTTATAAAAGCGTAAAAGTAGCAGAGGATTTTTATTTTGACCAAATTAAAGACATTTGCACCCTAAATTGGCGCAGAGAGGACAAACACTGGCGCACAGAAATTCCCCAGAATGCAGGAAATTAAGTGACTGATGCTCAAATATTTCTGTCGGAGGACTCCCAAACCCCGTCCCTTTATACGTGTCCCTCCCAATCTGGAAAGGAAATCTGCGCCCTTGGTTGCACTGGCTGCAGATATTTCAGGATCTAAATTTAAATTGTGTTTATGCCACACGATCTTAGTGAGATCAGATGTTAGATATTGTTTTACAGCGAGGAAACATCCGTCTATTGTCTGGAGTTATTTGTTTTAATTAATCCTGTTGTGCAGCTTATGAAGAAATAACCCGTGATTTACAGCAGGTTGAGAGTCTAAACATGTGCATGGACTGGAAAAGTTAAACACCCTGCAACGAAAAATGCGGCAGGCTGCTTAATACCTGGTGGATAATAACTATGGCATATGTTTCTGTAGATTTGTTTCGCTTATATTGCAACTTGAAATTTTCCGTCTATGAATTTGCTGTATGCATAAGTTTAAACATTGTCATGTGCACGAATGTATTTGCTGAATCCCCTACATGGGCGTAGGTTTCGTTTCGGGGGACACACTTGAAAAGGGGGAGGGGAGGTTGGGGGTCCTTTGCCAAAAAAAAAATGGAGCATCAATCATTTAATTTCCTGCATTCTGGGGAATTTTTGCGCATCAATTTGTGCCTTTTCTGCATTAATTTATGGTGTAAATGTCTTTAATCTTGTCAAAATTAGTCATCAGCTTTAATGATTTTATTAGGGGGGCAAATGCACATGGTGTTCCCTGCATCCCCACTCGAAATCTACATCTATGCCCCCACCTATAGCATAAGACTAATTTTCCCCTGAGTTTTTCTACCTCATCCAAAACATTAATTTGCCTCCTCTTTATGATTCTAGTAAATCCTTAATTTGTGCTTAAAATACAGTACAATTTATTTTCAATACTTCTCAAAAACAGTGCAATTTAATTCAATATTTACCTGTTTTTTGTTTGTTTCTAAAGCAGTGTCATGTCAGTAGGAGTAAAAGAAAGACACACAGTGACATATGCCATAAAACACTGCACAAGAAAACACTCCTGTTTAATTGTTTCTATAAAGCCAAATTAGGTTCAAGTAAATTATTTCTCAGTAATGCATTTTCCTTTGATTCTGAATATATTACTGCTATTTCTTAGATATGCTTGTATTAGCCCAATCATTTGGCAAACATGGCTTCCACCTGTGACCTGGTGTATCATGAAATTTACTGTCATGTACAAGCTGAAACTGTGGGATCAAAAATATGTAGCGGATTTTATTTGCTTCAAAAATTCCCCATGATTTACAGCAGGCGGCCTACATTCACAGTCTCTGTATCTGAAATAGAAAATGTCTCACTCACACAATAATCTATCAACAGTGGATTGAATGCTACTAAAAACTAGACTTGTTTTTATTGTAGATTAATCTGACAGTAGTTTTTTTGGTTTATAAAATGTCAGAAAATTGGTGAAAAATGTTGATCAGTGTTTCCCAAAGCCTAAGATGGCATCCTCAAATGTCTTGTTTTGTTCACAACCCAAAGCTATCCAGTTTGCTGTTATAGAGGAGGAAAGATACAAAGAAATATTCACATGTAAGAGGCTGGAATAAAAAAATGACTCAAAACAATTGTACAATTAATCACTGCAGCTAGTGCAAATACACATGTAAACTAAGTACAAACTTTAAATGCAGTTTCAGAAACATTTTTTTTTAATTCCTGGACTTAAAAAACGGAGTGTCAAAATTACAGATGAGCAGCACACAGTTTGCTCCATCCTCTGCTGCAGGTGTGCAGGTGAGACCTCCTCTGCTTTCCCTGTCAGTGCTTGTAACCTTCCAGGGTGCACACTGGCACCAGCTTGTAAGCAACAGGCAGGAAAACAGACAGACAGACTGGCTAGGAGCTTTACATACTGAACACATACTGCAACAAACACACAAACATATTCAGTCACGCACACATGGCGGACACATGTACACACATACAGCACATGTGTAAGGGGAGTAAAGAAAGCAAGCCAAGAGAAAGAGGAGTAGAAATGTGCTCCGTTTATATGATTGGATTTCAAATGAACTCTGTCAGGCTGAAAGGTGTCCGTACTTGTACATGTGATGCAACGCTTTCTGGCTCACACTCACAGCTGTGAAATGACTGTCTCAAGGGGGAAAGATAAAAATGACTTTACAGCAGTTTATGTTTCATGTAATATAGTCAAACAAATATCTCATTACTGTGAAGTCTGCGTGTGTCAGCAGCTTGATTTATGGCAGTGAACCAGACTTAATGATTAGTAAGCTGAATTTTCAGTCTGCTGGAACAGTTTTCTGTCTCGGCTATTCTTAGCAGTGAGGGTTAGAGGGTCACCTACAATGCAAATCAATAATACTTCATGTTTTCGGTTTAATTCTACAGATTTAACATTTAGTTCACCACCATGCACCCAAGCTGAAAGGTCATTATCTAATCAGATGTATGTGATATTCAGCAGGAAGCACAATGGACACCAGCAGGACTCTGAAATATTATACGTGCCTGAAGACTGTCTGTTTCTATCTCTACTGTAGCTCTGCGACCGCTGTAAATAAAGATGGAATATAATGTGTTTTATATTTCCACTGGCATGTTTAGAGTGTGGTTCATGCTTTGGCCACAAGCATGATCTGATCTCCCCTCTTTTTTTTCACAGGGAAAAGTGTCCAGAGTTTTACTAACTGTTATTGCTTTATTATAAGAACCAGTCTGTACAGCTCAGGACGGTCAGAGCAAAAGAGCGTGAGGGACTCGGTACTGAAAAATTATTTACGTGTCACTTTTCTGGCACAGTGAGTGAAAACTTCCCCTTAGCAGTAGGCCCACCTGCAGTGAATAAGGCAGCATTAGAACACACACACACACACACACACACACACACTGATGTATGCATACATACAGAGAATAAAAAAAGCACTGGCAACATATTTTACTTCCAGAAACACAAGTTGTTTCTGTCTTTATGAAATAAAATACTCAGCCAAATTCTTTTAGAAAGCAGTCCCCATTGATCACAGACAAGGGCGTAGGTTTGGTTTCAACACTGGGGTGGGGGCACAGCTGAAACGGGGGTGTTGGGGGTTCTCTGCCAGAAAATGTGAGCATCAGACACTTACTTTCCTGCATTCTGGTGATGTTAATGCACCAATGTGTGCCTTTTCTGCATCAATTTATAATGTATATGTCTTAATTTTTTTCCAGCACAATTGCCCTCTGCTAATGTCATGTAATACACATGCTCTAAATATTGAGGGGGACATGTCCCTTGCATTCCTCCACTGATATCTACACCCAAGATGACAGAAGTTACATATTTAAATTCACTGACTGAAATGATTTGGAATAAACTACCACTGTACTTAACCCAGGTTACTGTTCAATTCAATTTAATTTTATTTATGAAGCCCAATATTAGAAATCACAATGTGCCTCAGAGGGCTTTACAGCATACGACATCCCTCTGTCCTTTGGACCCTCACAGCGGATAAGGAAAAACTCCTCCAAAAAAAACTTTAACGGGGAAAAAAAAATGGTAGGATTACTTTTAAAAAGAAACTTAAGGACAGCCATAATCAAAAAAGAAATCTGTTTTACCAGCATATGATGTAACCTTTGTGAAGGTTATGTGTATTTGTGGTGCTCATTTGGGTGATGCCTCAGTGTACAACCATGTTCATGTTGGTCGGTTTGCTTTTGTGATCTACTGATGTAATGTGAGATAACTGCTGCTGTCTCCTGTTTGGATTTGATTTAAATTTGTAGATATTATATTAATATTTTGTCTTGTTTTTGCATTTTGTGTGGACCCCAGGAAGAGTAGTCGTGACTGCGGTAGCAGCTAATGGGGATCCTGAATAAAGAATAAAGT